ATCTCCCGAAGTGGTAACCAAACAGCGTTGGACCGTTGTCAGACGTCAGAAGTTTGACTGAGAGAATATTTTCACAAAAAGATTTTTAAAAAGTCTCACGTGCTAAATAACGTGTTTAATTGTTACTGGGTTGTTAGTCTCCCAACTAACTGCGATAATGTAGGACAGTTGATTCACCAAGTGGGGTCTTTGTTGTCATTTAATAAATATTGGACTCTGATTTTGTTGTGGGTCTGTACACTGCAGTTGTGTGGAGTATTGTAACAGAACGTGGCGTGAGGCACTTCGCTGTTTCCGCTGCTTTGGGTGTTGACTCTCTTACTCTGTCTCTCTCTCTCTCTCTCCCCCCCCCCTCCAACCTCCTCTTTTTTACTTCCAACACAACTCACTCCTTTACTGCACTGTTCAAAAGTTTTACCACATCGCCCACTAAAAATTCCCTTCCTGTCTGCTTTTTGTGCGATTTTCAGAATAAACAGCGATTAATTCCTTAAACAAAGTTAACCAGTTGATGTTTGTAATGGTGAAGCGTGGTGTTTTCTTCGCGGTACGGACTGAATTCTTACGTAATATTTATACGAGCTTCGGCTTCAAAGGATTACCATCTGATCTTTGTAATGGTAAATAGACAAGTGGTCTCGGGCCAGAGGTGGCTCGTGGGCCGCCAGTTTCAGCACGTTGCATTACATCGTATAATATTAAAATATATATTTTGGAACTATAATTATTCAGTCGAAAGAGTTGACGTCTAAACAGGACCTTTTAAGTTTGTGTTATTTTATTTTTTTTATGTTCAGAGACATTTAGGATCTTGTGAAATTAGCAGAGGATTAATTGTTTTAGATTTGATTCTCAATACGGACAGTTTAACGAGACGATTTAAAATGAGACGTTTGGCGTGTTAGTATGAATAATAATTCAATTCATTTATTAAAGTGCTTAACAACATCCAAAAAAGCTAATTACAGCCAAGCACAAAAAGTAATACAATAACTCGCTGTGTTTATATTATCGTTTATTGCAGATAGGACGAATATTCGACTTGAATTTGAAGAGTAATTAGTATAACATACTTTGTGCTTGGCAGGGGGACATTTTCTGGTATCTGAAAGTTTCGCGAACTATTAATTTCACATAATTTTGAAGAGCTTGTAACTTCTTGTAGGTACATCTCTTCTCGAGATGTTTTACTATGGCTAATAATAAGTTATTTATTCAGTGTTCTGTCTGACGACAGGTCCATATGAACAGGATCCTTTCATCCTTTTCTCGGACTGGGACCTGTTCATATACGTTCTTGGCAGATGATCCAGAAGTGGTTTGCCATTGCCTTCTTCTGTGTGTGAATGAAGTAATTGTTGGGATGCCACGGAGGAAAACTCCGTGTTGCCTAGACCACGGCCTTGCCCAACACAAGTTATAAATTCGGGCACCGCCGGGAATCGAACCCGAGACCCCCCAGGATTACAAGGCCAGCGCTCTAACCGCTAGACCACCATGGCTTGTAATCAGGAAGTACGAGAAAAAATTTTCAATTTGTCCCACTCCATCGTTAAACACCTCACTATGACGATGGTGGGAAAAGTGGAGGTATAGCTCCACGTATTCGTAACGCACCGACTGCCGTATCAGGGAACCGCGAAACGTGCCGCTGCGTATAAATTAATGTATTCCAACGCTGAAAATGTATGTTTTCAGGTTTGATTGTAGCAAGGTGATGCCGGTGGGGGCAATCACCATGGCAACGTGTGCTTGTCACTGTCATAGTCTCTCTTTACATCGAAGAGAGTATAAAGTGACTCGCGGAGAATGGGGAATGAGAGAGAAGTGTAATGGAACATGAATAGCGGAAGAAGGATGGGAAAACGAACGTGCTTAGAGAGTCGTCATTTGAGGTGATTTACGCATGCGCAAACCCCCCCTCTTACTGTGTTTCTTTTAACACCGTTTTAACACGCCCTTCATTGATTTTGAAGAACCGAGTATTTGTTCATTTGGCGTTTAAAAGTATCGTTTGTTTATCGTGTGAATGACAGGGAAGGTCTATTTTGCAGTTGTGCCAGACTGTACCAATGCGTGTATATATTGTAATCAGTATGAATCGTGTTAGGATAGCACACAAATTACAAAACTACATCACGGTACTGCTCGTTCAAAAAACATATAACCTCGTTTGAAAACCGTTTTAATGGTGAATAAAGTCTTAAGAATTTATTTACGAGGTTAACACGAGGATAAGTTCTGCCATTTTACTTCTGTTATTAAACGCGTACGTGAAGATTGTTTGACGATTTTAAAAATACAGCCTTCTGTTTATGTTGGTATTCATCAACAAACGTAAAAGGTTTCCGTGTACTCTTATCGCAATTTGTTGTTCTCCTCTGAGAGACGTCTGGCCTTCGTACTTCTTAACATGATGTATTTCTTTGTGGCCCAGAAATTTTTAAATACGAAACACACATTTTTGTTTACCCCAGAACTAAGGAACTCAATGAAGCAGAAAGTTCCTCTGAAACGTCGGCCAGTTTCTACCAGACTACACGGCGCAACAACCCTAAACAGAACTATCTTAAATTAAATTTATACAAAGAAAAGGCTACATTCTGGGACCGTCTAGCCTAGTAGCAGTTGACAGTTGTTTCAGAGGTAATTTTTGATTCCATCGTCAGGAATCATTTCTATGTTTTTTTTTTACTTTGTATTTGTGATGAATATTTATTTACAATTGGTGATAAAGTTGGTGTGTCGTAAATAAAAACGACGTTTCGCTATTGCGTTTTGTCCCTTATGATGAGTTCAGTATTGATGAGGGGTACAGGGGGGCAGTGAGCTCATGGATATTCAGTTTATTTCCAACTGTGCCAACTCCGCTGTTTATGTTCGCTGAGGTAAAGGAATTGTGTGTTTATGCAATTAAAGCATCATTATAAATGATTTTCTCCGCTATTTCACCAAAGAATTTTTGTGACACTCATTGAGCCTCGTAACTTCATCCATTTATAATCTCATGACACGTCTCTTTTAGTTTGTGACTTAATTTATTCTAATTACTAATCTTATCTATGTTTCATAATAATAATAATAATAATTAAAATATCAGAATTTTTGTTCTGTAGGCCAATATTTAATTTTCCGTGTATTTATTCCTGTAGGCATGCATATACTTTTTCTTTATTTTAATTATTGCTTTTAAATTAGTTTTTTTATTTCTGCTTAACAAATTTTGTTGTAATGAATTTCGTTCAAAGTACTCGCTCTCCTGTTTAGTGAATTGAGAGTTTATCAGAAGAGCGTAAGGTTTAAATTAAGATGAAGGTCTGTATTTTATTGATGTTTTTTGAAGATAATTTATAGGTTGATACATTTAGTAACATCGCTTTACAAGACAAATATTCTGAAGTGTTGTTTCTACGAATAAAATCTTGATGCCGCGACTTGATGTTTTCGGCGTGGTTAGTAGTGCGGCATAATAGCGACAAAGTAAGCGACTAGTGCGACGGTAATTTAGCTGAGGTGGGGGGGAGGGGAGGGGAGGGTATTCCTATTATACAGGGCTATCAACAAGCAAAGCTAGCAAGCAACTAGCGAGGGGATGATGATGATGATGTGTTTGACGCCACTACTGCTACCGGCGGCCGTTTACCGAAACACCAGCCCATTGCTATCTGCAGGCAGTAATCGTTCGACCGCCAGCTCAGTAGGGTCGTTGCTGTGCTTGTTTAGACAGCGAGCTGCAAGCAGCACTGGACAACATCACCTGCTTACACCACGCGATCTGCAGCAAGTGTCAATGAAACTTCAGTGTTAAACGTATTTAGTTGGACGTATCTGTCCAGTTACGTCACAAGGCAGTGGACTGTGTCTGTGTTTGACGACGTACTTTGCAGGAAAGAAATAAGTAGCTTTGTGTTATTGGTTCTGTGGAGAGCACGTATTTTATTTGCTAAAATGAAAGCGTGTTTACAGAGTAATAGGTGACACAGTGGTTAAATGACGGAGAATAAACTGCGAATAGTTAAAATATAAAGTGATTGTCGTTCAATAAACAGTGTTGTAATTAATTTTGCAAAAAGCCTGGAAATATTATTCTTTTATAACAATGGAAAGCTGTATGAAGCGAACATTTTTCGAGAAGGTTGCATTGGATTAATTATATATTTACTGACAATAATGAAGGAAAATATTTTATTGGACCCATTGTTATGAGAATGTGGCATCGTAAGAGTTTGAATTCATGTTGTGTACCAGTGATCAGTGTTGTTATTTCTCAAAGATTAATTGTTAAAAGAAGTGGATATTCCGTCGTTCTGTGTTTACAGACTGCACCTTTGAGGCAAGTCTGTTGTTCGTGAAAACAGAACCAGTGTTTTTAGACATCGGCGGGACGGGTGGGGGTCAGTAAATTCAGTTCTACTGTGGTAATGCTGACGATCGTGTAGTTCCCCGAGCCCCATTAAAACCATTTGGAGCAGTGGCGTAGCAGTGAATACATCTTTCTGATGTGATGGGAGGGGGGGAATAGAAAAAGAAAAAGGCTTTAGCTGTATCTGTGACCTCATCTAAATGCTGCAATATGTTTTATGCGGGAAATATGGAGAAGTGGTTAACATTTTAATTCGTGGTAATATAGTCACACATCAGTGTTGGTTTATGTGTGCCTTCGTCAATTGAAAAGTTAAACACGTTTTCTGTCTCTCTTTGGTGTGGCGTGTGTTTGTGTTTGAGGTGAATGAATTCATGTCTGAGATTCGTGACTGCCGATCATTCGTATTCTTCCCAGCATGCAACAACAACAACAACAACAAATAAAACAACATCAACAACAAAAACGTGACGGCGTAGTGATTAGCAGTGTGAACAATCACGCAAATATTATTGTTAAGAACAAGAACACGATACGAAATCGTGGCAGTGGCGGGAGTCGAACAAGCAGTGAGAGCAGTAGCAGCGATGTCACCAACAACGGGGGGAGTCCTGTGGGGAGTCCTTCTGAGGGCAACATGTCGTCACCAGCGTCCAGTGACGTCACTTTACTGAGAGCTACGCCCTCAGTCATGTCGACGATGGACTCTAAGACGCATTATAGCGGAGTGACGCCGACGGTTGGCGTAGTTTCGGCATCGCTAGCCGTCAACTCGTGGCACCCCCACGTCTATGCCAAGCCTCCCAAAACGCCGACACCGCATTTCATTTCCGACATCATGGGCTGGGGACCATGCAATAACAATAATAATAATAATAACAATAATAAGAAGGCGTCTTCACACGTGGTGGTCGCCCCGACGCCGATAAGAGCGACGCCACCCCCGTTAATACCGCCGAGAGCCTCTCCGGGTTCAGTCCTACACCCCCCGCCCCCACCTACCCCCTCGCTGACCACTGAAGATGAAGACGACGAACTTAGTAACGAGCCTCTCAACTTGACGACAAAGAGCCGAGATGCTTCGCCAACTTCGTCGGTGGGGTCTATGATGGGAGTTCCTGCCAGCGCGAGGACCCTCACCCCACCGATGCCACCGCAGATTATCGGGAAAGGAACCCCGAATCACCTTCACCACAGACCGCCTCCCTTTCGGGAACCGCCCCTCAACGGCATAGATTGTCCGCGGGGTGTCACCATGAACGGCCGTCCTTTGTCGGATGTGACGACGTCTTCTCC